CAGACTAATTGCAGATGCCTGCACTGACCAATTTTTCAATATTTTTAGTCATACCATATTATAGACTGTTACCCAACTCTCAGATTTTGGCAATGTAGTTTTGGACAAACAGGCTGTTTACAGACTTCTGCTCTGGGTCTAAAAGCTGCTAATTAAAAAAGGAATTACACATAACCTTCAAAGTTAGTTACAGGAACAGCCTGAGCTACTGAACACACACTATTCTCAGTTTCAAAAAAAATCCCCCTTTTTTGGAATGCTCTCAAAGCAGGTTTAAATTGCTGCTGCTAACATGGATAAATTGCAAGCAGGCAGACAAAATGAGGTTGGGTTATCAATTTTTAGGAAGTAATTAAATAGTTACAAGAAAGTAATTTCATATTCTTCCTGTCTGTTATATTGTCTGACTTGAATTACTTCATTATTCACTAACCAAGTGCATAACAAACGATGCATTGAAACAGTAGAGACCAAGAGAGAACAAGCTTCATTCATTTGTGTAATTCTAGGGCATTCTGTTCCAGCTAAACAGGATAATGCTCTTTAAGACGTTTTTGTGGAAATATTCACACAAGTGTTTCATTTTGTTATTCTACTTATTCCCCTGGTCCTGCTTTTCTGCTAAAGATTTTTGTTCTGTATAAATTCTCATTTGTAAAACTACCTCACACTCATTTGTCACTCAAAGTAATTCATTTCATCTGACTCGTTTTTAAAATCTTCTTTGACCTTTTTTACCTTCTCTTTTGAATTTTCTCTAATAAAATAAAAACCGTTTTTTCTCCACTGTTTGGAATCTCCTTTACTTTAGCTGCAGTCTGCAAACAGTGAAGCTGCAGAAAACTGTTATGAGGAAACAGAAATTAGAAGAACAAAACAAGACCAGAAATACTATCGTCCAGAAATACTAATCAATCAAAACTCAACTTGTTCATTCCTGTGAATGGGATTTCTGAAGACTCCTGATCAGATTTTTACTACTACTAAATACACACACAAGTTTGTTGTGAAACTGTTAAGACTGCTACACAGAACATCTGACACAAAACCACAGATGCAAAAAAATATAAAATGTAAGGAACGTGTTATACAACACAGACCAGACACCACCTTAACTCTGTCCCTCAACCTTCCTTTCCACACACATCCCTTTACTAGACTAGTCCCTCTCAGCAATTCATGTGTTAGCTAGCATGTTGTAAAACTGTAGTTTTAACAATGCAAACTGTTTAACAACGCAAACCTTTGCACATGCTAGCTGGCTGAGTTGAAGCCTGATTGGAGTATCAGTTTCAACTTGACCACCTAGTACAGGGGTGGCCAAGCTTACTGACGCTCTGAGGTGCATACGACAATCTTCAGAAGTTCGAGAGCCAGGGCGCACCTGCTGGGGCTTGGAGCTTCAGCCCCAACAGGAGGTGCCTGCCAAGGCTCGGGGCTTCAGCCTCGCTCCTGCTGAAACCCCAAGCCCTGGCAGGCGCACCCTGCGTGGTTGAAGGCCCTATCCCACCACCCCACTGCCAGGCAGAAGTCCCAAGCACCCTCCCAGTCTGATAGGTGGAGAGTCGGTAGGTATGGGGAGTTCTGTGTGCCACACTTTAACTGTAAAAGAGCCACATGCGGCTCATGAGTAGTACAGCTTGCCTTGTTTATACTAGAACTTTACAACATGCTTACATGAAGTTAAAAAAAAAAACTACTCAAGATAACCCCTTAGTTGTGGGATGTTTGGTGCACTAATTTAGTGTTCTGGGGTGGAGGTAGTTTGCCAGTAGTTGCTCCATGGAGCATTTGCTGGTGGTCTCTGGAAAGCTGGCCAGTCACTGGTGTTGGCATCATCCTTATTTCCAGCCAGTGAATAGCAATAGAAGACAACCCAAAACACATTTAATGTTTTTCCATGTAGGCAATTGATGTAGCTGCCACAGGGATATTGTCTGACTATAGAGTGAGAAGAGGGATGACCCACACAATTAAAAACAGATCCACAATCGTATCTCTGTACTGAAACGTGGACCCTGCCATTCAAATTGTTTGAGAACCCTTGCTATAGGAATGTCTTCGGAAAGGGAATTCTGCTCAAGAGACAAAAGGACAAGAAATTACCTTCTGCATATACAAATACTGACAGAAAATAATAGGTCATGAGCTGAACATAAAGTTATGGGGGGGGGTTACCTTGAAATTCTACACTCTACAATCAACTGACTCGAGAACTAAACTCTTTAAACTACATCCATTTAAATAAAAGCCTCAGATCAGTTCAATATCTGAATCAATATCTTACTTATGCATTTTTTCTTTATACTAGGTTCCTTGGAAATTAAAAAGGTGTAGCTATTACCTCACCACCACCACCACTACCTTTTAGAATAATTGCCACAACCATCCTTAGGCACAGAGTAATCTGACCATTATTTAAGAACCATCATGATGAAATAGAATTTCTGCCCTCTGCCCTCCCCACCCCCATTAAAAAAAAAAGTTAAGTCTCCATTTTTAGTTTTAAAGAAGTTGCACTCAGTCTTGTTTTGTGATATGGAACAGTACTTAGTAATGTCACTATAACTCTGGCTGTCTAAATGTTTAGAGTTATTGCAAGCTATTGATTGTTTTAGTCATTTTAAAAGTATGCCTTGTTTTTTTATTACTTGTTTTTTCAGTCTCAGGATGCAGCTATACTAGATGTTTGTACTGTTGCAACCATACAATTACTATGGGAAAGCTGCAACATTGCACAGCATCCACACATTTTGTTTCACGTGCATGCAGTGAAGAGTGGTCCAGAAGAAAGGCATCCCTCTTCGTGGCCTAACTAATTTCCCCATCTCCCTTCCTCTACCTATTGCAGTAGGGGCTACAGGGGATAGTGAAACAGACCACACTGTGGGTGACAGTACTATGCAGAAAGACATGGCTTTACTTGAGAGGATGGAGTAAGAAGAGGATGGCCTTGATGCTTACCTGTTTAAAATCCACCCTGCTCTACTTTCTCTTTTTCAGAGCTCAGGAGAGTGGGAGATGCTAGTGACGCAGTGAAAGGACACGTGGCAACCCTTAGTGAAGAAAGTATCAAAGGGGTAGCCGTGTTAGTCTGGATCTGTAAAAGCAGCAAAGAGTCCTGTGGCATCTTATAGACTAACAGAAATGAGCTTTCATGGGTGAATACCCACTTCTTCGGATGCAAGTGGGTATTCACCCATGAAAGCTCATGCTCCAATACGTCTGTTAGTCTATAAGGTGCCACAGGACTCTTTGCTGCTTTTGGTGAAGAAAGAGCATGCAGGTACACTTGCATTCCCCAGTGTATGTCCACATGTTGTACTAACCAGCCATTGATTGTGTCTTTTCAGGGTTTCCCTGATCTGGTGCCGATTTCATGTTAAAAAAGTTAGGATTCTATTTAAAAACTGTATTTCTCATTATATCCCAGTGTTTCTCTTAGTCAACTGGCGTTTAGAGAGGAGTCAGAGCCCCTGTTGCTCTTGAGACTGCCCTGAACAGGTGTATTGGGAGACCAGACTGAATTGAGGCCACCCTCATCCTGCATGCAGCTAGTTTCATGAGAGACATGAACAAGGACTCTGACGTGTTCATGCTGTCACAAAAGAGTGGGCCGGGGCATTCCAGAATTGCACTGGGAGAACCAACTGCATCAGTGCAGTTGTTAGGCCACTGCTTGGCATCTACACTAGCACTACTGTGTACAGTGGTACAGTGGCAGACAACATTGTTATTAGCCTTGCTGAAGGGGCCACCACAGGACAGATAATACAGGTTCTGGGAAGAAAAGGTGTGCATCATGCTGACCTGCCACCACCCAACAGCAAGAGCACTAAGTATTTCTATAGTCCTTCACCTTTAACATGCTTTATAACCAAATTTCAACATCTACACGAGGAAGGTGAATATCCCCATTTAATGAAGACAGCATTTGTCTCAATAAGAGCATATCAAGCAAGTTTAACTTTGACAGCTTTTAAGTGTTTAGAATGTCAAGTTATATCAAGATATAGCAACTTCACCTCCAAGCCAACATTCCTCCTCTTTACACCTTTAAGCATTGTCATCCATATGTATGCAAGTACCACCTCTTAGGACACTCTCCCTAGTTCATATAGTCAGCAGATTATGAAACTACACATAGTTTGTGGAGGTGCTGGGGGTACGGTCAAGGGGGTAAAGCAAGATAACACAATACAGCAGAAGACTATCAAATAAAGTGGACCATTTCAAGCAATTAACTGATAAAGTCAATGAAGGGAGGTACACATGAATTACACTACTGGGATTATGCTCCACTTCCTTCTTAGAACAGAACAAAAAGTCACATCAAATTGGCATACTAAGCCCTCATAAACACAACAATATTTTTATAGTAAATCACATGCACCAGTTCATTTTGCAACAGCACACAGTTCCAGGACAGTGACAATTTCAGAGCAGAGCTATGGAAGGTATAAAAAGTGGAACTTCTTGGAAGAACAGTACCAAACTTACAGAAGTGTAGAATGACAGTTTTTTTAAAATTATTTTCTCATCTCACACAATTCTTGCGTTCAGGAACAAATGAGACACTGTCAGGTCAAATCGGAACCAAATTTTAGGTTTTGCAAAATAAGCTTTGACGAAACCAAATACCATTAGAAAAGTTTCTAATGGAAAGTTCCCCCATCCAGTGCAAATATTTTCCACCAGAGTTTGCAGTATACTAATGTATGAATGAAATCAGCCAGGCAACTGACTAGTCTATTTTCATTGTTCAAGCCAAGAAAAGAAAAAGAGCAAAACTTTTAAACAGTAAGAAGTGATATTTTTTAATTTCTTTCAGTTTTAAAGGTACAGTGCCACTAGTAACACAGGTAAAGAAATAGGTTCCTGTTGAAATTATGTTTAACTATGCTATTTCTCTTTAAAAATAACAGTATTGAACATTCACATAAGGTTTCTATTGTTAACACAGTACTTAAAGTTTTATACAAAACAGTACATAGTCTTACCTGTAGCGAACATGAAAGGAATGATCTTCACGCATGCTTATCAAAACATTACTTTCCTCCATTGAATTGCATTATCAGTAGAGAAAAGTGTTCTGCAGGCAGGACAAGTACCTTAATACGGAGAATTGTTGTCAGCACATTATCCCAGTTAGTATATTAACAAGTTAGAGTTAATACATCCTAAGCTCCTGCTGAAATACTCTTCTTTATTAATAAGGAAAAGAGATCAGTGCCAAACACAGCTTAATTTTCCATAAACGTGTCCCAAGTTCTTGTGTCTGTGGCCCTTTCAGTTCCATTCAGCTGCATTTCTGCAAAGGGAACACAAGATGCTTGCCTTGAAGTCTCATTTTCAAAGAACTCATAACCACCTTGGGCTGATGCAAAACGCAAAGCTATCCCTGCTGAGTGCTAAATCTTATCAATCATTTAAAGTGAGAGAAGCAAAGTGTTTCACTGTGACCATGAGAATTTTTGCATGCAGGCAGCTGGAAAAAAAAAAAAAAGGTTCAGCAGAAAGCAGTACTCTGTGTTCAGCTAGAGTTTGAATCAGCCATCATTATGTTGCTAATCTTTTGTCCTGGGTACAATTCCAAGTGACAAGCTTAAAGGATAAATATGTATGAGTTTGGTTTTAATATAGCATCTTTCATGTTTATATGTAAATCATGTTAACATGCACTTGTGAATTACATGGCTATGCATTCCAGCAAGAGATTTTAGAGATGTCAATACATGACAGCAAAACTCAAGCACTCTATACAGTCACCAGAACACCAAGAGGAAATTCTGAAGCTCTAATTCAATCCACCTTTATTTAATTCATAGATTTAGTCTTGGACCCACATTTTCCACACAGCATCCTTCCATCTCTCCACATACACCTCTCCCCTCCAAATTTTTTCTTATTTCTGCTTCCAGCATCAACCACTTCCATAACTTGTAATTCCAACATAATGCTCCCATTTGCCTCCAATAGTGCTTTTTCCCCTACCCAGTCCTGCCAAGACTTCCTCTCTGGCCAGCACTCCATAACCAAATTATCAACCCTCTTCCAGTACGACAGTTCTTTCACCCCTTCCATGCAGGTGTTACAACTGCCTCAGTCTCAATAAGTGGGTGTGAATTTTTTTTAATAATAATAATTCAAGGGAGGAACACATACATTTCAAAATTCAATTGAGTCTTCATGAATTGGGAAGGACTTATGTTACAATCTACATAATAGAAATGCCAAACAAGCCCTGCCCCACTAATGCAACAATATGATTAAAGATTTTGAATGCACAGGAATGAGGGAGTTATAGCTTCCATGGAAGTGATAACTGAACCTTCTCAACCTACACACTGTATACACACTATGCTTTTGTATAATGGCATAAAAATTAATATGATAAACAACGTTACAAACAATGCACAAGGGGTCAATTTATAGTTCCTGTGATTTCCCACAACTTTAAATTATCCAATTTTTACATTTATGTCTGAATCATAGCATTTGTGTTCTGAAGCTCTGAAAAAGAGACAGAAGTAAACTAGAAATCAGTGCATTGTTGAACATGCATCAATGATCACATATTCAAATAAACACAATTTTTTGTTCATAATGCAGTCCAAATGTATAAAGGAAAAACATGAGAACCCCTAGACACTCAAAGGATATGTCTGCACTGCACACGAAGCACAGGTCTGCAGGACCCAGGCTTGTGGACTCTGTTTCCAAGCCCATGCTTGAGCATCTACATTGCATTATAAATCTTGGTTTACAATTACTGGACCCAGGTCTCAAACCTTCTGACTCAGGTTTGTGGCTTGACCTGCATCCATACTGCAAAATAACAGGGTTTGGATCAGAGTCTCAGCAGGACTTGGGCTGCCTCCCCCGCCCCTGGCAGGGTGCTAGGACCTGGGCCCTGAATGCTTGCTGACCCAAGTTAGACTGATTTGTGTGTGGATGGAAGGGGGGCTTGGGTTCAAACCTTGAGTCAGAGCCCAGGCTTACTGTGCAGTGTAAATGTACTCTTATATACTCATATGGGTTTAGATTTTCTAAGATGATTTAGAGAATTTGGCATTTGTTGCAATGGGAGAAATTTCATTTTTGGGTGCGTCTACACAGAACAAAATAAAAAATAATGTGGCAGCGAGTCTTAGAGCCTAGGTCAACTGACTCAGATTCATGGTGCAAGCTAAAAATATAAGTGTAGACATTCAGTCTCAGGGTACGTCTACACTACCCGCCGGATTGGCAGGTAGTGATCCATCTATCGGGGATCGATTTATCATGTCTAGTGTAGATGCGATAAATCGATCCCCGATCGCTCTGCCATCGACTCCGGAACTCCACCACGGCGAGAGGCGGAAGCAGACTCGACGGGGGAGCGGCGGTCATCGATCCCACGCTGCGAGGACGCGAAGTAAGCGATTCTGTCAATCTAAGATACGTCGACTTCAGCTACACTATTTTCGCAGCTGAAGTTGAGTATCTTAGATCGATCCCTCCTTCCCCAGTGTAGACCAGGCCTCAGAGTCCAGGCTCCAGCCTGAGCCTGAACATCTACACTGCTATTTTTAGTCCCACACTGCGAGCCCAAGTCAGTTGACCCAGACTCAGACTCGCTCATGGTGTGTGGTTCTTGTGGGGGTGGGGAGAGGAGGGATATTTTTTCTTTTGTGCAGGTGAACCCTTAGAGAACTGTATCTTGCTATTCAATATTAAAAATGTAACAGAAAAGTGGATATTGTGAGTATACAGTATGCCTATATATATATATATATATATATATATATATATATA